GTTTGGAAAGACTTGGTGGAAGAAAAGCACTCATAGATGGAAGTGTAACAAAAAGATTCCATCAATGAATAGCAGATTTTAAGAACTGCTTGGTTTTGGTTTCAATCAGTCTATAAATAACACATTCCCACACCAAAGGTTGCAAGGTTTCTCTTTATAAACAAGAGAAATGGAGGGAAATGGATTGCCATCACATACTGTAATTCGCCCCTTTTGCCTCATTGCCAAGGACTACGACAGAAAAAGGATTGAAAATGATCTAAAACAAGATCCGAAACGGATCGCAAACGTCACTACAAAATACAGTGCGTGCATATTTAGAATGCAGGTTGAAATTTTGATGATATTCATTTTTTCACAAGCACATTTTTCCAATTTTAAACTTCATTTTTAGTAACTACTATTTATTTAGGATATAATCATCAATAAGTGATGTATAATGGAGCATTACTTATCTGATGGTTCTATGGTAGTGCATTTTTCTCATGAGCATTTCATCATTTTTGACTTTTCTGTGTGTATCAATAATTTTTTATTTGTAAAAGGAAACCTGCTTAAAGTGATAGTTCCCCCAAAAATGTATATTTACTCGTCATTTACTCACTCAAGTGGTGCTAATCTTTTATGAAGTATGAATCTTTGTCATCCATAGTAGGAGCCAAAAATACTACTCTACCTGACAAAAGTCTTGTCATTAAAACTAGTTGTGAGAGCAACAAATAATAACTTGACTTCTAGTTGATCATTTGGAAATCATCTGTTGAACTGCATCTCAATCGTCATAAATACTGCAGAAGTCCTATTGGAACCTGCATGGACTCAATATTCTTATAGGAATCAGTCAAGTTTGTTGAAGGAAAAATCCTGGTTTGGGGTTACATTCAGTATTGGGGTGTGCGAGAGATCTGCATAGTGGATGGCAACATCAACAGCCTGAGGTATCAAGACATTAGTGCTGCCCATTACATTACAAACCACAGGAGAGGGCAAATTCTTCAGCAGGATAGCGCTCCTTCTCATACCTTAGCCTCCACATTAAAGTTCCTGAAAGCAAAGAAGGATGAGGTGCACCAGTAATGGCCAGCCTAGTCATCAGACATAAACCTTATTGAGCATGTCTGGGGTAAGATGAAGGAGGAGGCATTGAAGATGAATCCAAAGAACCTGAATGAACTCTGGGAGTCCTGCAAGAACACTTTTTTTTGCCATTTGCAGTCGTCCAAGCTCGTGGGAGTCATATGCAATATTAATTCGTTTTCCACTGTGCCATTACTTTATATTCTTTACTTTACATTATTTCTGTTAAGTGATGAGACTTTTGTCTCAGCAAAGTCAGAACTTACTGTCCTAATCCAATAATTAAATCAAGGCTTGATCATATTTTATTTTGGCAAAATAAGCGTAATCTAATGGCCTTTGTGTTTCATATAAGCCACTTTTGATACCAAAAGATCAACTAGATATTATTTGTTGTTCCTAAAGCTTTGTCAGGTAGTGTATGGAAATCAATGTTTTCAATCAGTTTTTTCCAAACATTCTTTAGTATCTCTTTCGTGTATAACATATGAGAAAAATCCCAAACAGGTTTGAAACAAATGGACGATGAGAAAATGATGGCGGAATGTTTGCACATCACAATAGAAGTAGTTTTTGCTTTCAGTTAGAAATTCATTCATGCGTTTTATTTTCAGCTTAGTCCCTTTATTATTCAGGGTTCGCCACAGCGGAATGAACCACCAACTTATCCAGCATATGTTTTACAAAGCGGATGCCCTTCCAGCTGCAACCCATTACTGGGAAATCAGTTAGAAATTATATTTCACCTATTAATTATTTAAAAACAAAATCAATGTGGTTTGCAATTGGGACAAAGTGCTTAGAAACAAATGTGCTCAGATCATTGACTTGCATAATAATTTTGCTTGCACTGTTGTAGGCAAAAAGCAGTATGTGACAAAAGAAGTATGTCTAAATTCACAGTACTAATGAACCTAAAACCAATAGATTTTAAAGTGTGCATTTGATGTATACTTTACAATGCCATGAGTCCAATGCAGAGGACTTATTAATAGCACTGAAAGTGATTGAACTGCTGCTGCTTGGTCATGTAGTCACAATGACCATACAGTGAAAGCAGTGCGTTCAGACTACATTAACACTACATACATAGTACATACTTTCTTTTCAGTGGTTACAAAGTAAGTTCTTATTCAAAATGTGTACCTACTCAGGAGAGTATGTGATTTCAGATGCAGCCGATGACTATGAATACTGCATTATGCAGTTTAACACATGAAAACCATCAGCACTCTCATATGTTCAAAGGATCTGAAGAGCATTTGGGGGCATTTAGGAGAAGAACGAAAGATCCAAAATCCCGAAAGTCTTAAAGTTGAAAGATAGCACAAGATGTGTGTGTGTGTGTGTGTGAGTGTGTGTGTGTGTGTGTGTGTGTGTTTGCGACGTATTTAGTGTGACAGCAAGTAGAACGGTAATTTTATTTTGCTTTCTAAAGAGGGCCTTACATTCCACTCCCAGCATTCTTTTGGGGAGGTCGTGACAACTTTTATCTCTTCACTGAAGCAAAGACGGGAAGCTGCTATAAATCAGACAGAGCACCGGTTTGTAGTCTGTTGTATTGCTTTTTTTGTTTGCCATACATTAAGCTGGTTAAATGTTAGCCATTCAGAGTACTTTTGCTGACAGCGGTGATGTATCTAGTGGACAACAAAGTCCTCATTTCGAACCACTCAGCACTTAAGAGAGCACTTCACATCATCCTATCGGTAGTTGGTAAAGGCAATCACTTGCGTATAAGTGTGTAAACCCCAGTCATTCTTTATAATCGGGCATTTCAAAGGTCATTGATCTTAAAGGCACAGTATGACATTTTCACCACTAGAGGGCGTGTATTCACAACAAACAAAGGTGTAGTTTGATTGCTCTTTGACTAAGTGTGGAATCCTGGGAATTGTTGTCTTCATTACATCTTATGGGACTCCTGCAGTAGTAATGTTCATGGATGAGCTAAACTATTCAACGATTATTATGATGGTAGTATCGAGGAGAAAAAGGTCTTTGCATACTGAAGTCCGATGTGTGTTTTTTTTTTTGTATTCGTATCTTAATTCATCATTTACACAAACCTTGCACACTGAGTCCGATGCATATTAATCCATTGCAGAAAAACATTTCATTGATAGTTAAAGCAGTGATGCTTTGTTCTCCTCTGTCTTATTCAAAATAGAAAAAGAAAGAGGAATAAGCTACATATTGTGTTCATCCAATACTGTATAGAGAGGGAGAAGAGTTCTCCTTCTTTTGGATTATCCCCAAAAGCAAACTTTATTTCAGGAAATTAGTGGAATTTTTATACATTGCTTGTGATTCTTCAAACATTTACGTACGTAAACAAATCCAGAATAGAGACTGGCTACATTGATGTATCGGAGCGGACCATGAGGTGTCTAGCTTTCAATTACAATGTCTATAGACAGTATGTCAGATGTATGGACACACACACACACACACCCCAAACAGCAGCGAGGTAGAAGTGTGCCAGTCACTGAATTCAGCATATAAGGTGAAGTGAGTGGGCGGGGCTGAGAGCCCCACAGAGGAGCTCTGGGTTATAAAAGGGGGAGAAACAGCAGTGGAGGATGAGAGAGGACCAGGCCAGGACACTTTGCTTTACTTTTTGCTTTCAGTTTGTTTTATTTTGCCATAAATAAACGAATGTTTATAAATAGTTCTCCGCATTCTTCTTCCCGATGGGCAGGCAGCCAGCAACTTTATTACATAGGGGTTCTTAACATTCTGTCTTATATTATGCACTGTGTTTGTCATTTGTTTGTGCTGAAGGCTAACGGCATTTTGTATTTTGCCTTTCACTTGTATGGTGGCTCTGAATTGTCAAAACACCTCTCAAACCGCCTTTTCAAATGCAAAATATGGAAAAAAAACGAATTTGATTCTTTTTTTTAAATGACAGATGAGAGTTTTGGAGGCAGTGTGTCAATATGATTAACACAACGTGAGGTCTGTATTTTGCTTTTTGGTTGTACGTTGGCTTTAAACTGTCAAAACACTTCTCAAACCGCTTTTTTAGATGAGTAAAATTGAAAAAATTGATTTTTAAATGACAGATGAAAGTTTCTGAGGCAGTGTGTAATTATGATTACACAACGCGAGATCTGTATTTTGCCTTTCTGTTGTACGATGGCTCTCTAAACTGTCAAAATACTTCTCAAACTGCTTTTTCAGGTGCGAGAATGGGAAAAAACAAACCTATTAAATTTTTGTCATGAGGGATGAAAGTTTCAGAGGCAGTGTGTCACAAGGTTGACAAATCGAAAAGTCAAATTAGTTTTTAACGTGCAAAAACTGTGGATTTAAATTTCTGATTCAGTGTGCAAAATCCTTGACTGAAATCTGTTGAAGTAACACTAAAGCAATTGCTGATGAGAGATGAGCACTAAATGACACAAAAACAGAGGAGCTTTTATTATGCAACAGTTCACCGCATAATCACATCAGGCAGAAGCAGCGCTGTTTTATCATACTAAATACATTTTAGAGTTCGAAAATAATGCTGCTCTGTGCAGGCTAATAAAACGTGCAACATAATAAAGCATCTTAGTTGTTTTCAAACGTTATCTGTAAAACCAACCTGAAAATGCAGAGTCTATCTATCCTGAACAAGCTAACCAGGCTCTCACTAGGTATACTTGAAACATCCAGGCAGGTTTGTTGAGGCAAGTTGGAGCTAAACCCTGCAGGGACACCGGCCCTACAGGGCCGAGATTGGTGACTCCTGGTCTATCAAGTAAGATCGCTTACTTCTCTGGATTTCTTCAAAACATTTGTATGTAATGTACGTACATTGGTTAGAAAAATATACAAGGCTATTCTAGGTGATATTTATTATATTTTAATGGAAAAATGTACATATTGTGCCTTTAACGTACAGTGAAATAATAATAATAAAACAGCAAAGCTCCTTTAGGTCACATTATTATGATTTTATTCCTGTCTATTCTAGCACATCAGCACATTTTTCAAACAGTGGCTTGCATCAAAACACACTTTGTTTCTTCAGCTCGACTGCTCAATACTATAATCGGTTATTTGTATTTCTGCCTTTTCAGCCGTACGGTGTGTGTGTGTGTGTGGGTGTGTGTGTGGCATGATGGGGGAAGTGTGCAGTTGTCCAGAAAGTTTTCTCCTATGCCTGCCTTTTGCGATTTAGTGCCGCGTTTTGTGTCTGTGTGCACTGATTTTCTTGCCACTGCACTGGATGTACATGTACGATAACAATAAAGTATGCTTAAAAAAAGAAGAGAGTATGTGTGTCTATACTGGCAGAGAAATGTGGACAAATGATCTTTTGGAATTGGTAGGACGATGTGCATTAAGATTATAGATTATTGATAATGCTATCTGGTGGCTCAGATCTGTTAAAGGCGTGATTTAGCTTGTGCTGCTAGCAATCCTTTCTGCTCCAGGAACTGTCCAAAGAGCCGAGCAGCTTCCTCAGCACATCCACGATGGATGGTTAGCCCAAAACCTCCATGTCCATAGTTATGGATGACCTGAGGTGAATGAAAACAGCTGGCCTTGTTAAAAGAGGAAATTCATGAGTCAACAAGCCCCTAAAGAGACATAATGATGGAAAATTGACACTGCAGTGCTTTTGTGTAGACTGCCAAAACATTTGTGTTTCCTTGAAAACTCTTGCATTTGTTTGCAAAACTTTTGTTTTTCTCTTGGTCTGAAATTGTTGTTTTCTCCCAAAACCTTATTGTGTGCTTTGAAATCTTTTGTGTTCACTGGCAAAACCTTTGCGTTTACTTTGAAAGCTTGTGGGTTCCCTTGACAAATTGTACAGTGTACACATAAAACTGTACATGAAAAGACTATGTTTGTGCAAAACACTTTTAATGTGTGCTTAAAATTGTAGGCATTGTGCTGGCCTATAAATGGTGTGTTAAGGAGCATTGTTGCTATTTTAAAGAACTGAAATGGACTAGAAAATAGGAATAGATTTGTTCACCTGTCGGGTTTGGAGATGTATGCGTCACTATATGGGGCATAAGAATAGGACTTATGTTTGGATATAACTTTTTTGACCACACTTCGTTATTATTGTTGATTTATTAATTTCCTGGAAATTAGAATTGAATTAAGCAATATTTTCGATACAAATCTTTGCGCTTAACAAACTAAATTAAATATGTAAGCTAATGGATGACTTCAGTGGAGTGCGTACAACTCCATTTCCTTATCCATGAAAGTAAAGGAGTAAAGAGTAAAAGTAAAGAGAAAGTGAAGAGGCCGAATGGAGGAGGCTCGTTCTTTCTCCTAATGCTGCAGATGTTTAACTGTTTTCTTGCTAGAGAAGTGTTCAGTTTTTCCACTTACAAAGTCCGCCATGTAAATAGCAAATGCGCCATGGCGCGACGCAACTGATTCTTAAAGGGAATATGAGATGAGACTCTGATTGATTTATTGCACATTATGCTCAAAACACACCCTTCACTCATTTAGAGAATACGCACAACCCTGTTAGATCATGCACCTTAAAATAACAAAAGTGGATTTAGACATAGCCTCAATGCTTTTGCTTTTGGCGCTTCAGACTTTCTGCCTAGATCATTAAAATAGAGCCCCTTGTATTCATGTACAGTGATGCAATTGAATGAAGTGGGATGCAGGTACAGTTAAGGACAGGTTTGGTGTGAAGGGTGGGTAAAGGTTTAAGGGTAGGTCAACAGTGTTATTATAATTACAGATGTAATTCATGCAAATATATATTTAAATGTAGGTACATGTAAAAACAAGTATGTACAAAGTAAGTGCTTTGTACCAAATGATTCATTTAAATGTATGTAGTAGTAACCTCAAAAAATGCAATTCTGAGTGTGCCACACACAGGTGAGTGGGCTTGACAAACCACATGTAGAAAACACTCTTTTTCATTTCTCTGACACTTTAACCAACACTTGCACCCAACCTAAGCTCATTCTGAAAACGTAGCCACGCAGACATATCTAGAGACCGCAATTTACGTGGCTGGACGAACGTATGGCTGCATTTAATTTTTTCAAGTGAATGCTACGGAGCAGTGTAACGCCGCTCCTCTTCGTACTCGCCGGCTGACAGTTTACCTCAATGTGGAGGGCTTTCCCGAATAAAGCGAACGAGTTCATAACAGGGCGAGAATGTGGTGAAATCCGAAAACGTGGTCAAAATCAGACGAGGGCTTTTTTTTCTGGACGGCTTTTGTAAATCATTGCTTGGGTTTAGGGAAGGAGGAGGAGGAGGAGATTCAGTCAGTCGGACAGAGGGTCGCTCTACAGCAGCCTCCTGTGGCTTTACGCAAGAACAGCGCAGGCGCAAACAGCGCTCGCGAGAGGCGTTCGATATGTGAAAAAGTGTGCACAGCGGCTTCTCGCAGATTCACGAAAACAAAAACTGCACAAATACATACCTCCCGGGACATACAGTACTTTGCGTCTCCAGAAATTTCCACGTGGCTATGTTTCCAGAATGAGTCTGGATTGCTTGCACCAGTTTCGCACATTTGCACTGGCCATTTTCTTAGTCACTTCATATTTAAAAAAAAAAGAAGCCTGTGTGTTTATGAAATGTGCTTTTTAGAGGTGAGTGGGCTTGACAAACCACCCGTAGAACTTAATTATCTTGTATTGCCTCTTCTTGTTGAATCGCAGAATTCCTCCTCAACTAAATGTAAAATGTAGTAATTAAGGCCACTTCAAACAAATTAGGACCAGAATTTAAATTTACTGCAAAACTTTATCATGTGCTATGAAAAGAGTGCCCACTTGTGTTTCTCTTGTAAAAGTATTGTGATCACAGGAAATTCAGGCAAGCATTAAATGTATAGTATAGTATACAGCATACACAATTTTCCTCATGTCTTATATTATTTTCATCACCCAAGTAACTGCAAAGGTTTTGTGAGTGAATGCAATGTTTTCTGGCAGAACACAAAAGTTTAGCACATACAAAATCACAGTTTCCTTAAATCCATTAACATGTCCTTTTAGGGGTTCAATATTAAACTTTTACAATGATTTACACAATCTGTTTTCATTAGGAAATGACATCAGGTCTTGAGTGAGATGATCACCTCAAATGAGTGTCCTCCAGATCGTATGGCTTCTCTCTCCAGTCTGACTTTACTCCGTGCAGGTCTGAGACCAGTCCAGTCTTCCACTATCCGTGCATGCTACAGGTTTCATACACATTTTTACAACAAAAAGTCCATGACTTTCCCAAGACTTTTCCAGAACTTTCAAGTACATTTTCATGACGTAATGTTTCACGCAATGTCTACATATAAATGGTAAATAATAAGAAAAACAATAATGTTCAAATTTATTACAGCAAATCATAGAACATGCAACAATCTATTCTGTTTAAATTTGTTTTTATATCTATGTGAAATTGATTTTGATATTGCTTAACCAGCACTAATAAAGTGAGAGCAAGTTTTTGGCCAAGGACAGAAAAGAAGACAACTACCTATAGACAAGTTAGGGCTGCACAATATATCGATTCAGCATGGATATCGCAATGTGTGCATTTGCAATAGATGCATCGCAGGATATGTAATGTTGGGATTATACTTTATTATAGAGTTTAATCATCATGGAAAAAAAGTTATCATCTGCATGCATTTTTAAAGAGATAGTTCACTCAAAAATTACCATTTTTATTACACCCTTGTTTCAAGCATTTACAAGTTCTCTTTTTTTTTAATAAACACAAAAACAAAATAATTGAATAACTCCTATAGTATTGAAACAGTGAGTGTGAGTAAATAGTTAGTAAATCTTAATCTATAAGTAAGGCCTGTGACTGTGTGAACATTTCAATATTTCAAATTTTAAAACATTCGGCCACAAGAAATTTGTTGTAACTTTCTTAAAAATGTAATAATATACAATGTCGACTATGCAGTGTTGATTATTCTATATCTGTACCTGAATAGTGAATACCTGAAAACTACAATTCACTTTCACCCTTACTTTATTTTATTTATCTATGCATGTAATTTATTTGTTATTTAATTTATTATTCGAGAATTACTCCTCAACAAAATCCCCCCAATCAATCCAAATAAACCTGTTAAATCATCTGGTGACATTGTATTCACATCGTAATATACATCACAGAAATACAATATACTGTAATGTCAGATTTTTCCAATATCGCACAGCTCTAATTCCAGTATGCAGATGTTTGTTAAACTAATTCTGTTTTTCTAAAACTTTTTCACGCCTGGAAAGTGCCATGTCAAAATTCCATGACTTTTTCAGGTTTTCCATGACCGGATGAACCATTGCTAGACAGAGAAAAGGATGTCCGATCCACTCAAGCCACTCAAACACACACTAAATTATGAAGGATAAAATATTGGAAAACTACCTGTAGACTGGGCTCAAGTTTGCAGGCGGCTTCCCAGATTCCTTTATGGTCAACTGAACTGTTCATCCGATTCCAGTTTCCCACTTGGAAAACTCCACCAACTGTGACCAAACGACTCCTGCGGAGGCAAATTTCTTTACTATAATTTATATACAGTGCTGTTATAGAACTTTTTAATATCTTGTTTTAGTTTTTATTCTTATATTTTCAGTTTTGCATTTTATCAATGAATTTTTATTTGATAAATTTATTAAGGAGATCTACCCAGGAATGATGTACGGTGAATCATAGACTCCTGATGTGGAATCATGCGTGATGACCCAGTGCTTTAACCAGGGGGCGTCTACCTGTTGATAGAAATGAAATGAGATCAGCACAGTTTTCTGTGTCAAATCTGTGAATATGATTGACTGACAAACCTTAATGATCTGTCCTCTGGCTGGCTGGAGCTCAGGGTCAGGCTGCAAATCTCCTGAGCGAACACCAGAGCAGTTGATGATCATATCAGCACCACTGTCTGACAACTGGACAACATTTATCAGGTTAGTAAAAACATAGAAATCACTTCAATATGCAGATTTAGTGTCCAAGAATCATTTTATATTAAATTGAGTCATCTTTTTTTCTATAGCGCTTTTTATAAAATCTGCAACCCCAAATCAGAAAAAGTTGGCACAGTAAACACAAACAAAAAAAAAAGTAGTGATTGACCTGTATTTTTTTGCAAACAATACAACAAACATTATTGAATGTGTTCCTGATGATGTTTGATGATGAATTTTAATTTTGGCTTTTGCAACACTTTACAAAAAGTTGAAACAGTAAAGCACTTACCACTTTGTAATATTTTAATATTTAAAAACTTAGAAGACATTAAGGGACTGAAGACACCAACAGATGGAGTGTTTTAGGTGTTTAAGTCTTAGGGTGGGCAACAGTTCTGGATCTTCTGGGTCTTGAAATGCATTTTGCATTTCAAATTGTGCCACACATTCTCTATTAGAGATAGGTCAGGACTGCAGACAGGCCAGTCAAGTATCTGTATCCTCTTCCTCCACAACCAGGACTTTGTAATGTGTGCAGAATGTACTGTAATTTTTATCATTGTCTTGTTAAAATAAGCATGGGTGTCCCTGAAAAAGAAGGCAGCATATTGTGCACCAAAATCTTTATGTACTTATCAGTATTAATGGTGCCATCACAGAAGTGCAGGTACCTTTGCCAAGGGCACTGGCACAACCCCATACCATGACAGCCCCTGGCTTTTGGACTCTTTTTTTGCTGGTAACAGTCTGGATGATCCTTTTCTTTTTTGGTCCAGAGCACATGACGTCCATTTTTTCCAAAACATACCTGAAATACTGATTAATTTGACCACAGTACATGTTTCCACTGTGTGATGGTCCATCCCAGATGCCTCTGAGCCCAGAGAAGTCAATGATGCTTCTGGACACTGTTAACATAGGGCTTCCCTTTAGCACAGTAGTTTTAACAGGCATTTGTGGATGTAACTACACATTGTGGTACTTAACAAAGGTTTGCCAAAGTAGTCCTGAGCCCATGTGGTGATATCGCTTGTAGACGAATGAGGATTTTTGATGCAGTGCCGCCTGAGGGTTTAAAGATCACGGTAGTTCAGCTAAGGTTTGGGGTGCTTGTCCTTTACGCACTGAAATTACTCCAGAGTCCTTGAATATTTTAAGTTATTCACTGTTGATGATGAAATATCCAAATGTTTTCCTATTTATCTTTGAGGAACATTGTTTTTAAACATTTCAATAATTTTCTCATGTATTTTTTACCAAACTAGCGATCCTCGACCCATCTTGGCTCCTAAAGGACTAGAGCTTTCTCGGATGCTGCTTTTGTACCAAATAACAATTACAATCACATCATTATTTAACCAATTTACCTGATAACTAGCCCTAAATTGCTCTTAAATTTGTTGTCTATACTGTACCAACTCTTCTAATTTGGGGTTGTAGATGACTGTGTCAAAGCTGCTATACAAAAACGAGTAGGAATTAAAAATAAATAAAAGGCATGACTAAATACACAATCAGCAGCATGTCAGACGGATAGAATTCTGGTGTAGTTCTAGTTAGATTCAAACTGATTAAGTTCAGTTTGATAGCAGTGTCACTGTTGAAAGATTATCCTCTGAAGAGCAGCACTATCATGATTTCAGTGCCAATTGTGCTGCTTAATGTTTCCTTGCAAACTTGTCTTATACATCTTTAAAGGGCACCAATTATGCCCCTTTCTACATGTAAAATAGGTCTCTGATGTTCCTAGAGTGTGTATGTGAGGTTTCAGCTCAAAATACCCCACAAATAATGTTTTAAAACTCTTTTCAAAAGAGGGCGGAGCTATATATGTGTGTCAGCATAGTGGCATGTACAAAAGCAAGGCTAACGTCCTATGCTAATGAGGGAGAGATTGTCACTCATGGGCGGGACTTTCCTTCTCTGATGTCTGAATTTCAATCAAAGTGTTTCTGCAGACTGTCTTCATGTAGTGGGATTATTAAAAATTAAATGAAGACTTTTTTACCATTAGAAGCTGGTTATATTCATAGACTGCTACCACACAACTATGTTTAAGGATTCTCTGATAAATACTAACTTCTTAAAGGGAGCATTTGTTTGAAGCAGAAATCTTGTGTTCTGTCATGAACTGTCAGTTATAATCAGTTTCTTTGAACAAATACTTCTGAATGTACACTTTTAAAGGTTAGTGTACATTTGACTTTTTGTTGGCTTAAAAAATGCATAAATATGAAAACTGAATTATTATCAAACCTCTTTAAATGAGTCAATCGTCCTCTGAAAAAATGCGACGCCTCTTTGCTTTAACCTGCAGAAAAGCACATCAATGTGAACAAAGTGTCAAAGACTGTGTTAATCATTGTTTGGCCTGAAAAAGTCTTACTGTAAATGAGTAACACATTCACTACAGATATATTTTATGGCAAAACATATGCAGTTATGCATAGCAGTTATTCTAATGCATATCTATTAAAGAATAACAACATTCACATAAAATTAAACACGTGCTTAAGATGAGTTTTTTTTTTTCCTCTAGGGTGTTAATTAGACAGCAAGTGCCAAATTGAATTTTGAAGCTGTTTTGTGTATAAAACATAACATATTAAGCATACATTTCTGTTTTATTTTCTTTATTTTTATGCCAAGTATAAGATTCTGATGGTATGATAACCTTGGATAAAAACATCATGGTTTCACGGTAAAGTGATCACTGCTCTAAATATATATTCTCTTTAAATGTGTGGGTAAACAACTAAAAAATGTTTGCCCTTTTGAACACAATATATTTTATTTTAAAAAACATTTGAAATATTTTGGAGCAGTAAACGTGTCAGGTTACATGAATTATTGACTTCTGCGGTCTTCATTTCTTTAAATTCAAATTTATTTTAAAACAACATGTTTTCTGCTGAGATATTGTTGTCCTAAAAACAAAAACAAAACGTAAATAAAAAATCATACACATACCTTACGGCAGGGGTCACCAACCCTGTTCCTGGAGAGCTACTTTCCCGCACATTTCAGTTGCAACCCTGACCAAACACACCTGTTTGTAATTATCAAGTGCTGCTTTAGGTACTATTAATTGGTTCAGGTGTGTTTGATCAGGGTTGGGACTGAATTCTGCAGGAAGGTAGCTCTCCAGGAACAGGGTTGGTGACCCCTGCCTTACGGTATGGCAGAAAATGGTATTGCAGAAAATGTTGACGGTTTCAAAACCTTGACTTTTCCAAACCACGTTACTCCTTGAAAATGGTAATTGTCCCATGCCTACCTCTGAGACTGAGAGGTGAATCACATCAAAGTCAGTTATTAATTTTATTTTACTACGTATTACTACTTTTTCTTTTTTTATTTTATTGTTTTAGTAAAAATAGTTTGTGCCTTTTTTGGACATTTGAGTTTGACTGAGACTTTTTATTCTATTTTTTAATCGATTTTGCTCTGCCATTTTGAAACATTCATTCATTCACTCATTTTCTTGTCGGCTTAGTCCCTTTATTAATCCGGGGTCGCGACAGTGGAATGAACCGCCAACTTATCCAGCAAGTTTTTATGCAGCGGATGCTCTTCCAGCTGCAACCCATCTCTGGGAAAATTTTGAAACATTGAGGTGTTAAATTTAATTTCTATATTAAGAAATAAACTTTTCTTGGTGTTCTTTCAGCCTTTAAGTAAAATACTTAAGTTAAGTAAGTATTAATTAAAAAAGTCTTTAATACTTTTACTCAAGTCTTGTTGGAATTGGTGACTTGTAACTTGTCTAGATTGCAACCTACAAAATTTCAACTAAATTTTTTATTTTTTTTTGCTTCTCTTTATTTTCCCTCTTTTTTAAATTTATGTTTATTAGTTTTCTATAACATAAATTTGGATGTACTAGTTTTTGGACCATTATCATAAGTTATTTTTGTTAGATAAGCTCCAGATTTGGCTTCAGTACTGAATAATCTAATGTAAATGCACAAATATAATATCACATAGCTATGAAGAGGGGATGTAACCTATTTATATATGCTGAGCACTGTATAAAACCACTTCAATAAACCCTAAATACACTGCCTAACTTACTGACTGTGATGATAATAAAAATAGTTAAGACAAGAAAGAAAGTAAAAAAGAAAATGAATGAATAAATGAATGAATGAATAAATGAATGAACGAATGAATGAATGAATGAATGACTGGTTTCTTAGTGTTGGGTTCTTGCTGGAAAAGCATCAGGTGTGTAAAACATATGCTGCATAAGTTGGCGGTTCATTCCACTATGAAGGGACTAAGCGGAAAAGGAAATGAATGAATGAATAACTAACTAAATAGACAACAATAATGGGAGTTAAAATCAGGAATATTGCTGTGCTTTGACATACATTTCTAAAAATAACTAAATAAAAATGTTGGGGTTGTGTTTCGTACAGTATGTTGTAGAACAAAATGTTTGTAAAATTGTTGTATTGAAAAAAGTATTGTCAAGTTATTTACCAGAGTCTTATTCATTGAACATCTCGATGTTGGTTCAGACGGTATTCCTCAAAGACGCAATTAAAAATCTAAAATACATTATTTAATCATTTGTTTTGCACTTTTCCTTCGAACATGGTTCTTTAAAACTGTTAAAAAATTTTGAAGATTACTCTGAGATTTTAGTGTAAATTTTAAGTGTAAGTGAAATGTTAAGTACACCAAGGACTTTCATGGTGCTACATACAGTATGCTGGGGTATGAAGGTGCTTGATTTAAAATGAATATTGCTTTAAATGTCCTTGCAAGTCCTTGAATCTGCTGTTTGTGAAAGCGTGGGGACCCTGCTTTTCACAATGCAGTCATTGTATGATTTATATCACATGGTGAATCTCTGACTTTTGAACTCCACTGTATATTCTGTCATTTCATTGCAATACTATTTTTTTGTTACTGATAAGATAAGAGAAATCTCTCACCAGTTCATGAGCCAGGGCAAATACGTCTTTCCTTCAATCATGAGAGCAGTGTTGAACCAGCCAAAACTAAAGAGATAGAGGACAAAATATAGGTGATTCAAAAATCCCATTTATGACCAGTCTAATATATTTGGTTTCATGAATAATCGCCACAATCATCATGGGGGAAAACAGCAGAACATGTAGTCACCTGTAACCTGGGAACATCTCTAGTTCACGTTTAGAAAGCTGACGAAAACCCAAAACAGCTTGTTTAAACGACGGCTCCTGTAAGAGAGGAACAGAGAGAGAGAGAGCAGTTATTTTCACTCTGATTTTATACCAGTTTTATCCCCAAGCCTGAAAGAGGGGCCTCAAGAGTTTAAAGTGGATGGTTGGGGTCTTTAGATTCTGAGAATTCTGAGAACTTCTTTTGTTCAGCTTTCCAGTAAAGTTCATTATCCTCTGTTCTCATGCCTGCATTAGACCGCTACTTTGTGAGAACATTCATAGCCACCATCCATCAAATCAAAAGTTGGAGTGTGCAATATTCTATTACAATGTGTGATGACATTATTGTGTCACTCACTTAGAACAAAATAAAATTGAATTTTGAGAGTCTAAAGGCATTCCCTGCATCCCTGAGGCCACATAGTAAAAATAAATTATTATTTTGTAGGAATGCTGGGCGTCACGGTGGTGCATTGGGTAGCACAATTGCCTCACAGCAAGAAGGTTGCTAGTTCGAGCCTTGGCTGGGTTAGTTGGCATTTCTGTGTGGAATTTGCATGTTCTTCCCGTGTTCGTGTGGGTTTCCTTCGGGTGCTCCAGTTTCCCCCACAAGTCCACAGGCATGTGCTATAGAAGAATTGAGGAAGCTAAATTGTCCGTAGTGTATGTCTATGAATGAGTGTGTGTGTGGGTGTTTCCCATTACTGGGTTGCAGCTGGAAGGGCAGCCGCTGCGTAAAACATATGATGGATAAGTTGGCGGTTCATTTTGCTGTGGCGACCCCAGATTAATAAAGGGACTAAGCTGAAAAGAAAATAAATGAATTATTTGACTACTGTTTATTTGCAGGTTTAAATTGCATTATGGGATATTAATCTCTTGATGTTGAACATTTTAATTTAGTGGTTTTATCAAAGTGCATTTTATTTATATTTTTAGTAAACTGAAACAAAATAATGTATCAGAACTTTATAACGTGAGTAAATTACATGACCTGCAAAGACAATATATTGTTTCAAACTACTAAAATGTCAATTAAAGTCACTTTATTCAAATCTTCAACAATAAATATTGTTGGACACAAAAGTAAAGGACTCACAATGCATTTTGAAAGTCTGAATAAACGTAAAAAAAAACAATGAATCTATAAAATATTGGAAACTAAAAATAATGTATACAGCATATTAGCACACTTTCGTCACAAATGTGATAATGATTTTGTATAACAGATCAACAGATAAGTTATTATTGAACAAGTTACACTTTTAGATACAGATCTGTTTTTGTCAAAGAAAATGGTTTGAAAGTAAAAAATTGAACAGCATTGCAGTGTTAGATCCTGAAGAAATCAGTTTTTGAACAGGTAATTAGATTCAGTGGTTTAATAAACCAACTATAAAGACAGTCACTAGTTTAGTATCTAAATGAATCATTTGTTTTGAAAGAATCAAATGAATTAGTGAGTATATTAAACTATTATATCATTAAGTTTAAAGTTTAGTTTAGTTTGACCTTTTTCTTGTTTGCAAATGGCTACACATGTAAAAAGCAAATAGTTGACGTAAAAATGAGAAAATCCTTTATTTGAATTTCATTTGAAATGTTTGTAAACGTGTTGTCTTACAATTAAGTTAATGAAGTATTACATTATTATAAAATTAAGCTACTTAAAAGTTCCAGTTTCATTCATTCGTTCATTTTCCTTCAGCTTAGTCACTTATTTATCAGATGTCGCCACAGCAGAATGAACCGCCAACTATTTCATCATATGTTTAACACAGCGGATTCCCTTCTAGCCGCAACCAAGTACTGAGAAACACCCGTACACTCTCACATTCACACCAACACTTGCACACTACGGCCAATTTTGTTCACCTGATTCACCCATTCTGCATGTCTTTGGACTGTGGGGGAAACTGGAGCACCTGGAGTAAACCCACACAAACACAGGGAGAACATGCAAACTCCACACAGAAATGCCAACTGATCCAGCCGGGACTCGAACCAACGACCTTCTTGCTGTGGGAAGACATTGCTAACCACTGAGCTACTGTGCTGCCCCCGGTTCCAATTTGCATCTGTTTTTTTTACTTAAGTTAAAGTCAGCTTGTTGCTTTTAAAACAATACGTTTACTCCCTTCTTTAAAGTAACATAACTAATTGCTATTATGTCACAAAATTTATTGCCAATTTCAATTACCTGACAATATGATGTTATAATGACAATGCAATGATGGAATGTATCAAAAACTTGCATTTATTCTATCTATGTTGCAAAAACAATGAGACATTCTCACCGGCATTGGTTCAGCACACAGATTGTAGCCAGACTGAAGGAAAATTCCCATTTTCACTGAATCTGGAGAGTTGATGAAACTCAGTAGATAGTTAAAGGTCTCTTTGTTCCATTGACTGAGAGTAGAAAAGAAAACATTTTATTAGCAGGGTTCTTCAGGATATCTGACAAACAGCCTATTGACAGATGAAAGCTCACGTTTCTTTGACGTTGCCCTTGTCGTAGAGATAGGGCTGCCAGAGTCCAGCTGCCCCATCGCTGGTGGTCAGAGGGGTGAAGATATCAGCATAAACCTCTATGGTGAGAGGAGAGACTCTGCTGTGGAAGTGCTGGTAGATGCTCTGAGCAGTGGAGAGACCGATGACCCCCGCGCCAATGATGCACACCTTCATGTCTTCAGACAGGTCAGATAAACATCAATATGCATTCCTTTTATAAGATTTATAATATATTTTATCTAATTTAAAGTCAGTTCTGTCAAAAAAGACATTTGAAAGCTGTAAATATACAGTGTTTGGGTGCACACTTGTGTATCTTTTTATTCTTACAAACACGATTCACCAATGCTGCATATGTTTACAGTTATTAAAAGTAGGGCTGCACAATATATCGTTATAGCATCAATATTGCAATGTGTGAACCCATAATAGTCACATCGCCAGACGTGCAATGTGGAGTCAGGACTATAGTTGACCAGGTAGATCAAAACACATGAGATCATTTGGAGTCATTTCAGTTAAACCATATTAAAGTGGAAGTTTATGAATTGCAGACCTGACCTGTGTAAACATTTTTAGTTAGTTTAAACCATGCTGGCTTTACATTTGTAGCTCTAACAAAGATTATTTGCATTTTATCATTTAAAATCATGAAAACTATACAGCTTTTTTTGTACATTTGATAACTTTATTTGTAACTGAATACTGTTAGACTGCTTCGTTTGTATATTTGCTCTACTGTATTTATCTATGCTAGTAATTTGTTTATTATATTTTATGTACACTGAAAAAATGATTCAAAGATGATTCCTTGGGGTGTCACGGTGATGCAGTGGGTAGCACGATCGCCTCACAGCATGAAGGTTGCTTGTTCGAGCCTCCGCTGGGGGGTTTTTGTGGAGTTTGCATGTTCTCCCCATGTTCATGTGGGTTTCCTCCAGGTGCTTCGGTTTCCCCCACAGTTAAAGACATGCGCTATAGGTGAATTAAATAACCTAAATTGGCCATAATGTATGTGTGTGTGAATGCAAGTGTCTATGGGTGTTTTCCAGTGTTGGGTTGCAGATGGAAGGGTATCCGCTACGTAAAACATATGCTGGATAAGTTGCTGGATAAGTTTCATGAAAGAATGAATGATTCCTTGGATTTTTTTTAAGTTCAGTGGTTGTAAACAATTTCACTCATTCATTCAGTCATTTTCTTTTCGGCTCAGTCCCTTTATTAATTTGGGGTCACCACAGCGGAATGAACCGCCAACTTTTCCAGCATATGTTTTACGCAGCGGATGCCTTTCCAGCCGCAACCCATCACTGGAAAACATCAACACAAACTCATTCACACTCATACACTACAGACAATTTAGCCTACCCAATTCACCTGTACCACATGTCTTTGGATTGTGGGGGAAACCGGAGCACCCGGTGGAAACCCACGCGAACACAGAGAGAACGTGCAAACTCCACACAGAATATCGCAATAAAAATAGCAGAACATTAATATATCGCAATGTAAGATTTTGACAGTATTGTGCAGCCCTAATGAAAAGTGTATTTTATTATATGGTCTTGAGTCCAAAGTAAGGGGTCAAGATTCGTATAAACATTAACAACAAAGCTGTTCTTAATTGCCTTTGAACAAGCTTATAAACAAATATCTCTATATACAGTGCTCTGCATATAATATGAGTACACCTCCACAAATCTCTCATTTAAATGAATATTTTCTATAGGAATCTTTACAATATTATGTTTGTGCATATACATTCAGTACTGAAGCCAAATCTAGAGCTAATCTAACAAAACAACTTACAATAATGGTTCAAAATTAGCAGCCCAAATGTATATGTTAGGGAAAAATATTAAGTTAAATGTTCAAAAATAGCAAAATATTAAGAGAAACAAAAAATATTGAATTTTGTTGACATTTTGTAGGTTGTAATTTATTTATTTTTTTGCAATATTTTGCATGAATTTAAATGTATTATCTTTCCATTTCTAACGATGTTCTGCGACTAAAATATTATTTTAATAAATATATCTGTTTAATAAATCTGTTTTGTTTAAATGCACCGATATATTTCACCCATATTCACTTGCTTGAAACTTATAGCTGAGAATAACCCATATGTTACATTTATAAAATTGCCATTTATGAGATCTGCATCGCATTCGAGGAACTCTAGACTATATCAACAAACAAAACATATTCAACAAAAACAAAAAGCACAAAACAGAATGACACCTTCACTCACCGAAGTTTTCTTGATGTCGGTCTTAACAACAGGTCGTTGTCGTCTCTACAAGCACGTAAAGAATGTAATGGGAGGTCGCAAAACTTACAAATCAACCTTTTCGAACTTTACGTAACGTCAGCTATGACGTAGAGGTGGCGCTATTTGTGTTATCCTCCTTCAGAAAGTGCCCAGTATATTTACTGGATTTTGAATACTACTACATAGGCTTTTTACGTGGTGTAAATGGTGATGGAGGTATTGCGTCATATGAGTGACAGGAATATTTTTAATCTCTTCGGGTTTATTTATTGATTCGCTCAGAGCTTCTGTTACATCAATACTTCAGCAGGTGGCGACAATGCTTGATTATACTGGCTAACTTTTTGTTCGCATGTAGGGTTGATTGAAATGTTTGATTTTCAATGGTTAATACAATTCATTTTTATTTATTTATTTATTTATTTACATCTTTTGCTATATAGATTGTGTGAAAGCAGCTTTACATAGAAGATTATAGTATGGTAAAATAGGTCTGTGTCCAGACACTGTTATAGGACATCTCACAAAAGATGAAAAACACAACAAAGGACATAATAAATAATAAATTCTAAATAAACTTCAATAATATAATATAATATAATATAATCAAGTAATATAATGTGAATGCAGCTTGTAAACATGAATATTACAGCTTTAATAAAATCTTTTCACATTTTAAATATGATTTCTTCATATTGGTATGTGATTCTGGTATGATTCGCTTGATATTAAATAGAAAAGGCTGCCACCTCAAGAAGTGAATGTGCATGTGATATACTGTACATGGGTGTGATAACAATAAGACATAAATTAAAAAGCTTTAGATAAAACTATTCATTAATAATGCCAGCGTCTGATTCTTTATTGAACTCTGGCAGAGTAAATGGCTGACTTTCATTTTAAATATAATATTAGTAATAACAAATATTATACAGTATTGTAACCTTATTTTTTATTGCACTAATAACAGGCTATAACAACAAATAGAAATACAACAACTGATAGAAGTGTAGTACAAGCCATACAAATATTACCTTTTGCAACAAGAGAAATGTAACTTAATTAAATTAAATAAATTTAAAAAGGTGGAAGTAAAAGAAAGACAAAGAGAGCGAAAAAGAAACAAGAAAAATAAAATAAGGGCACATGACAAAAATAAAACAAAATAAAGCACAAGTTTTATAAGTTTTAATTGCATTCTTGTTGTGAGAATCTGTGATGGTTTTTAAATACAGTTCCAATTCACGTTTAAAAAAAATGGCTTACAGAGAGTATATTTGAAAATATATATAAAATGAGGTTTATGCAAAAAGTTGAATCAAGGAATTGTTATTCTTCAATATAAAACCCCAAAACAACATGTCCATAGCTTAAAGAAAAATTCCACCAACCTTTTGGACAAGTATTGTAACCTTAATGATCTGTTCTCTGGCTGGCTAGAGCTTAAGATCTGGCTGCAGCTCTCCTGAGCGAATACCAGGGCAGTTGACGATCACATCAGCACCACTGGCTGACAACTGGACAACATTTATCATATATATGATTTAGAAATCACTCCAATGTGCTGATTTTGTTATTAAGAAATATTTATCATTATTAATGTTAAAAATAGATTGATAAAAGCAAACAAGATAAAGAATGAATAAATCAGTTATTAGAAATTAGTTATTAAACAATAATAGTTAGAAATGCATTGTAAAAAATCTTCATTCTGTTAAACAGAAATTAGAGGAAAAATATACATGAGGGCTAATAATAATTCAGGAGGGTTATTAATTCTGACTTCATCTGTGTGTGAAGTGGTGATTTTTTTTATTATAAAAAAACATAAACACATTCATTTAATCCTTTTACTGCTCTTGATACAGCGCCTAACAGTATGTGCAAGAATGTGGTTCCCTAAAAATATGAAATATGTCGCAGCAGAAGTTAAGACTCATCAGACCAGGCAAAAAAAAAATTATCCAGTTTTGGTGAGCCTGTGCTTAATTGTAGCCTCAGTTTCCTGTTGGCTGACAGGAGTGGCACCCAGTGTGGTCTTCTGCTGCTGTAGCCCATCTGCCTCAAGGTTGGACAAGAGCATTCAGAGATGCTCTTCTGCATATCTAGGTTGTAACAAGTGATTTTTTTGAGTTACTGTTGCTTTTTTATCAGCTCAAACCAGTCTGGCCATTCTCTTTTGATCTCTGGCATCAACAAGGCACCTGAACTGCCGCTCTGGATATTTTTTTCTTTTTCGGACCATTCTCTGTAAACCCTAAAGATGATTGTGCATGAAAATCAGATATAGATCAGCATATAGATCAGATATAGATTAGCAGTTTCTGAAATACTCAGACCAGCCCATCTGGCACCAACAACCATGCCACGTTCAAAATCATTCTTCCCCATTCTGAGGCTCGGTTTGAACTGCAGCAGATCGACTCGACCATGTCTACATGCCTAAATGCAGTGAGTTGCTGCCATGTTAGCTGATTAGAAATTGACTGATTAGAAACGAGAGGTTAGAAAGGTTTACTTAATAAAGTGGCCGGTTAGTGTATTTTGATGAAACACAACACAACATAAAGTCATTCCTAGCAATATGTCTGCATGGCATTAATATAATGAAGTTATACTATGGGGTTGTTAACTGTTTGATTCTGATTGTCTGATAAAAGTTTTAGGGGGTTTTAGTGAGGGCCGCACAAAATCCTGCTGTTAGATAGGCCTGTTCTGTGAATATTTCTAATGTTTCTAATATTCACATTAGTTGTAAGCCAGAAAATTCAAATAAAGCAACCAACAGAAACATTCAGTTTGATTAAATAAAATTTATTTAGTCAGTGAGAGGTAAAATTGTAAAAGTCCCACCCTCTTGTGAATAAGACCAGTGTTGAATTTGTAGATAAACTTGATCAAAGGATTGACCGACTGATAAAATTAAATGAGAACATAAATCAGGGCACCAGAAACGTAACAAAAAGAAGAAGAGGAAAGCCAGAAGAGCTGCTGTGTCCCAGTTCATCAAGACATTCGTTAAGACAAGTTTGTGTAAAATAAAAAAAACTAAATCATAGAAAAATACAAGTTAGAGCAAAGTATTGTAATTTAGCTGCTCGTTTAACTTTCCTTGGAGAAGAATAGTCCACCACTGGCATTGCCAGACAGCTACTGTGATTTGTTTTTTGCCATTAACGGCACGCACCACCATACACAATGATAATGCTGTCAAAAAAATAATGAAACATTGGACAACTCATGACGCATATCACAAACATTACATAGTAATAGTTATATGGTAGCTTTTTGAAATCAGATGTACATGGGATTAAGGAAAAATATTGCTGATGTCTGTTTAATGATAACACTGTACAAAGGGGCTCAGATCTTTCAGAGACGTGATTTAGCCTGTGATGTTAGCAATCCTTTCTGCTCCAGGAACTGTCCAAATAGCCGAGCAGCTTCCTCAGCACACCCACGATGGATGGTCAGCCCAAAACCTCCATGTCCATAGTTATGGATGACCTGAGGGGAATGAAAACAGAATGACGTATGAAAAAAGAGATGTAATGAAGATGAAATGCTGCTCTTTTCACTCGATGAGCTCACCTCAAATGAGTGTCCTCCACATCGTATGGATTCTCTCTCTAGTCTGACTTTACTGCGTGCAGGTCTGAGACCAGTCCAGTCTTCTACTATCCGCGCATGCTAGACAGAAAAGATGTTTTATTAGGAAATTAAATACTTAACAAATAATAAAACCATCTGATCTTCTACCTGTAGACTGGGCTCAAGTTTGCAGGCGCCTTCCCAGATTTGTTTATGCTCAACAGAACTGTTCATCCGATTCCAGTTTCCCACTTGGAAAACTCCTCCAACAGTGACCAAACGACTCCTGCGGAAGTTTTTTTATATTTATAGAACTTTTTAATATCTTTTATAAGCTTTCGTTTTTATATTTTCAGTTTGTTTTAAATTATATTTATTATTTATTTTAATTTAAGCAATATTATAAGCATAAAGAGATCTACCCAGGAATGATGTACGGTGTATTATAGGTTCCTAATTTGGAATCATGCGTGATGACCCAGTGCTTTAACCAGGGGGCGTCTACCTGTTGATAGAAATGAAACGAGATCAGCACAGTTTTCTGTGTTACATCTGTGAATATGATTGACTGACTAACCTTAATGATCTGTCCTCTGGCTGGCTGGAGCTCAGGATCAGGCTGCAGATCTCCTGAGCGGACACCAGAGCAGTTGATGATCATATCAGCACCACTGTCTGACAACTGGACAACATTTATCACATTATTAAAGATGTAGATATCACTTTAATATGCTGATTTAGAGCTCAAGTGTTAAAAAACATTTGCGCTGCATAACATTTGATAATCAAACGTGTTTGATGCATTAAGGATTCTCTGATTAATGTAAGTTTCTAAAAAACAGCATTTATTTTAAACAGAAATCTTATGTTCTGTTGTCTAAACTGTCAGTTTTAGTTTAAGTAAACAATTTATTTGAAACAAAAATATTACTGATCCCATATACTTTTGAATGATGGGGGGTGGGGGGGGGGGGGTGAAGAAAGAAAGAAATACTTTTAAATTATTTTTTAAGAAAGAAAGAAACAAGAAAATCCTCTTTAAAGATTTCAAACCTCTTTAAATGAATCAATCTTCCTCTGAAAAAATTTGACCCCTCTTTGATTTAACCTGCAGAAAAGCACATCAAACAAATTGTCAAAGACTGCTAATCCTTGTTTGACCCGAAATAGTCTTGGTGCATATTAGTAACAATTGGACATGCATGTATGAGGACTTTAACTTTACTTAGACTTTTATTTCATTGCAGACAATACAACAAACATTATTTAATGTGTTCCTCATGATGTTTATTTTTATTATTTAAATAAACAAGTATTCCAATCCTGGAAAAGAAGGCAGCATATAGTGCTCCAAAATCTTGACATGCTTCCCAGCATTAATGGTGCCAGCACAGAAGTGCAGGTTACCTTTGCCAAGGGCACTGACACAA